AGTTTTACCAACATAGTGAACACTGAGTAAACCAAACTTAGAACTCGCGATACTAGTGCAGACGACCATGGTTGAACAACCATGAGAAATAAATGGCGGGACTTTGGTGTTGCACATTTAACACAGAAATAAAAGACACGCCCACAGTTGGACAACCAATCATTTTATTATTGGTCACGATGAACCACGGATCATCTGCACGTCCTTTGTAAACACCACAAACACGATGTGCAATCAGCGTCAACTTCCTGAGAGAAACACAACGCACTTGCTAAGCCAGACCGTCTGGTGGCACCCTACTATTTCATCAATAACCAAATATACTTTTATCCTGTTCCCGAATTGGACATTTGTTTATTTGGAGTAATTTCCAATTCTACGCCAGGTCCTTAGTAATTAATGATTCCACGTATTTATTTGGCCGTTATTTGACAGACGTAAAATGCCATAATGTTAATTCGTGGAAATTTAAACACACTGATACTGATAATGAAATAAACATTTGCCAAAAAATACTAAATTTGCTATCCCATGGAAATAATTAAAATCAAAATATTTGGCAATATATTAAGTTTTGCGTCGCATGCACACGATTGAAATATTATATAAAATGGGCCTAATATACTAATGTTGTATTTATTTATTTGTAAGAACGAGTTTACATCCTGGAATGGCCACGATGTACCACGGATCCACAACATCTATGATATGTATAGTTCAAACTGCATGATATATATATTGCAATGAAATTTATTAAAAATATGACTCAAGCAAATAACACACATGTACTCAAAACGAGGCTACTGGCACCTGGTACCCAGATACGACAGAGATGGTATACAAGCAAAGGCAACTGAAACTGAAATAAAATTACAAACCTATAACGTAATAAACTTAAACAAACAAAGACTAACATTATAAAGCTATAAACTAATACTCACATGAAAAACAGAAATAAATAGCCAAGTGTATTAATTGTGACAACATGGCAACGCATTAGTTGAATAATTGCATGTAAGTTGTATCTAAGATCTAATTATTGTAAGCAAAATAAAAAGGTGTGAACCGGCTTTACATACCTTAATTCTTAACACGAATATAAAGAATTAAACAAGAAGCAGACAATGTGTCAGGTTATTACTCAACCAGGTTGTGAATGATGTGTAATATTAATAATTACTTTCCCATTCCAATTTTAATTTGCATGCAATGACTTTTTTACATATAAAGGCCAATTGTTCAGGTCAAAATATACTTTGAGTATGGAGGTTCACGTGCCGCGTCCTGTTCGATATGGGACTCATAGCGACGTATACAACGCGTGTAAAATACATTGTTTATGTACATGAAATTCGAACACGCGCTGCGCAACGACCACCGCGCTTTAAGGATTACACTGACCATTTTATATTTGAAATGACAACCAAAACACAAGAATGATTAGGGTTTATGCCTAATTCCGATGTGGGTTTATAATTAACAATTCACATAAGTGATCAATATAGGGTTATCCCTTTCTGTCGGTGCATATAAGTGTGATTGCCCGTCTGTTATTGCAAAATCTCCATGTTCCACTTCAAAAATGTCGTAATAATGACGTATTATAGCTGCAACTCGTCATTAAAAGGAATGTGTAAATGATCCTTGAATCTGTGAACAATACATGAATTTAATATTACAACCTTAAGCATTTATTAGAATGGATTGGAATGGAATGCATAACAAAAGAAAAAAATAATTATTGCTATACTCACGTGCTCCAAAATAAATGAAACACTGTCCAATTACGATGCGTTAACGAGTTGGTGAATGTGCAATTTTATAGAACGTAACATAGTGTAACCATAGTGTAGCCATAGAAATAAACGAAATCGTAATATGGGATGTTCGTATTTTTCACCCTAGAGGGCAGCATTCAATATTGACTATGTTTTTATTTGAGCATTTTCAAATATATACAATTATTGGATGCAATTAGTATCTACTAATTAAATTTTTAAAAAATGATACTATTGAATGCAGCATTAAATAATGGTTATTTTTCAATGTTGATTTGACCATTTAGGAATAGAAGTATAAGGTGGGTGCGTAGGGTGACGGATTCTCAGTGATTACAACAATAATATTTCATTTCATTTCACAGTAAGAATATACTTAGCTTAATTTACAGTGATTGTTCCAAGTATGGTTGCACGTCTTACCTGGTTTGTAACTGGTTTATGTTTAGCCATGATCATAATTCGCTATAGTTACTTTGAGTTAAAACTGGACACACCAATTGACTTGCGACCTTCATCGACAAATGTTTCCATAATCTGTATAAAACGGAGTTAGCATTAGTATACCTTGACGTCATTTTTTTTTTCATTTTCTGTCTGTCTGATGCTCCATATTATAAACGTTTTAAACTTTCAGTATAAAAACCCTTATAAAAATACTGTGAAATTGATGTCATTATATTAAGAATTAGTACTAATGTTAATATTAATATTGCAGTTTTGAAATAAAATTTTTGATTTCTTTAAATAACATTAACACAACAAACATAGCTTTAGAAACGTGCATGAATTATTTGTGAGTCGTCTTCACTCACCTTTCACGTATCAACGTAGTCCACACCAACACGCAATACATCGTGTTGACCCATAAAAAATACATGCAATAATTTCGACTTTCACGAATTGACCCAAAAAAATGAAAAAATAATGCATTTACAATTATTACATACATTTTAATGTGGATAAAGCCTCACAGGTTAAATACATTTGTCAACAGAGGGCGCTGTGAAGTGGCGAAAACAGTGCAAAAAAAGATCGGTCTCTATTTTCTCCCTTTTTCGGTGGTACACACGCTGACCAGAAACATTGTATTTTGTTAGACCTCAATTATACTGCATAAATTTATTTTGTTTGCTCTTACACATGTAGTGTAGTGTAGTGTAGTGTAGTGTAGTGTAGTGTAGTGTAGTGTAGTGTAGTGTAGTGTAGTGTAGTGGTTGTTTTTACAGTCACGCTTTTGTTCAGCATCTTGTAAAAGTCACTCAGCCGACAGTACGTTTCCATTGCGACTAACGACCTATACCAGGACAATTTGTAGAAATAATTGCACGTACTTCTTTGCCCTATTGCTTTCAACAGAACAATGTCATTTGCATTACCACAAGGAAACTTCATTCAGCGAATTGCCACCTGAATTTCACCTGAATACATTCATCTGCAGTTTGGTG